TCGTTGCCAAGAAATGGCAATTGAACAATTAAGGCCCAAAGCAGAGAGGGTTTAGCAAATCATGAATTGTTTTTAATTTGCCTCATTAAGCTGCCGTTAACTGCTTCAATCCATCTGCTTAAAAATAATTTGCACATCTTAAGTTTGCTCTGGAGAGCAGGTGGGCCTTCGTTAGAGCAGGTTTTGTTATTAGTGTTATCTTTAGGGGGCTTTCAGTTGTTGTGGGAAGTACTTTGTTGCTCACTGAACCCAACTTTGCCTGTAAACAGAAGGAAGGAGCGCATGGCTGTAACTTGCAGGCCGCTGCCAGGGCCGGCTTCTGGGGAACACTGCCACTCGTTCAGAAACCGCCTTGCTGTGGAGGAAGCTATTTACAGCCCTTGGGTAGATCTGGGTACGAGAGAGGAGAATGAGCTAGGTGAATGCCTAGTATCCCTATTATCTGCTACCATCCCCAACAAATTAGTCCTGGAGAGGACGAAGAGCCAGATGTGTCCCAGTGCCTGTAATTGAGGAGGGGGAACGCTGCTGCCTACGCCCTGGAGAGCTAGCTGAGGAAAACCGAGTTTATTTGTCTCCCCAGGTTTGTAAATAATTTCACTTACAGAGAACAAATCACCAGAGAGCCACAGATTCTCCCTCCTATCTCACGCCGGGATTCGTTGTCATTTCGGTCAGAGAGCACGTACGCTCCTTGCTGCGCGTTCTGCGGTGCGCTGTGAAATAATTGTCCTGGTTCTCGTCAGAGGAGCCTGTTTCAGCAGCGAGCTAATGGCTTGCTGATAGGAACAGGATCATCTGGAGCGAAACTAGCTTCAGAAATATTAGCTAATGATGGTGTGAGAATTTAAAAGGAGGTCTTCCTCTCGGTCTGTGGGAAAGAGACGGATGTGATTTTTGGAATAGTCGCTGAGATGCAATATTTGACTAAATATATAGATCTTCTTTTATCAATAAATTAAAAACTCATTAAAATATTGCTGTGAAATTGTTTGGGTTTGTTTCAGTTGCATGCTGTTTATTAAGAAGAAAAATGCCAATATTTAACAGGATGTAAATCTTTTGAAGTATCTGAGCAAAAATGTTGCTATGAACTGTAAATATCATTGTCTTTCTATTAAGATTTTATTTGGCTCTTTCTGGCAAGGAGGGAGCCTGCAAACAGGCTGACGGCACAGGTTTGCACACAACGGGCTTTCAGGTGTGTGACAAACCAGAAATAATATTAAAAAATAGAGGGCTTTTTGTAATTGCTTTTGGTTGCAATAGTTGAAGGTGTTCTTTGCAACTGCAGCTACTATGTCTTTTAGTATCAAATAAGACATCCCAAGGAATCCTTGACTGGAATCCTTTTATGTTTGCCCAGTCATCTGGGCCTCCATTTGAAAAATGGGGAATGAAGAAAATATCTTAATTTGTCTTGATTGGAAGGAATGAATGTTCTAAAAATGTATACATGCCATTGAACAGAATATGTGGCTTCTGCCATATTTGATATGCCCTCATACTTCTGTTCTCTTTGCTATATTTGTCTTAATCTGGAAAGCCTTCTACTTCAGGATTTCACTGTGAAACACTTCTTCACACTAAAAACCTTTAAATGACATAGAGGCAATTAAATAATTCTTGTAGATCAACTATGTGAAAAATTAAATCCGTTTTTAAATTTGCAAAATACTTATAGACATTTTAAACATAATACTTACCTTCACGGCTGTCTGCTGAAGAGTGCCCAGTGCCAAGACGCTATTGTAAACTCAGTTATTCAAATCCCGAGTTGTTCCTTTTTACTACTCTGGATTGACATGCAAGGTTAGGGCTGATTGAAAAACTTTAAAAGATTTTACGGGCAAAGCATTTTTATGAGCAAAGTGTTTTGAGTTGAGCTGAGTTAAATCTCTGAATCCATTTGAGCTGTAGCTCAAATAGCAGGAGACAGTGATAACCACCGTGGACCTTCTGATGATAAGTTTGGGGAGGGAGCTTTGTTTATAGGAGAGAATGATATGTGATGACCCAAATGTACAGTTTTCACCAGCTGTATATTTGCTAAGGAAGCTTGAAAAGTATTTCTTTAGCATTTCCACTCTAGGTGAGAGCAAGTTGTCAAAGTACTGCAATCAGTCACAAAAAGTATTTTAATTTTCAGCCGTTTCTAGTTATAGCCCTTACACAAAACGCAGCAAATTCCGCTTTAGCAACACCGTCTGACACTAGCAGAAGACTTGAAGATGATCTTGCCTAGGGTGCAGTGAATGCAGCTGTAGAAGTTGGAGAACTTGCTGTGCTGAAAGCTCGGTTCAGCTGCTGCGGTGGCCTCCTTTTCGCTTCCACCTCTTTCGGCTATTTTTGCAGCTGGGGAGGGGTAAGGGCAATAAAGACAGCTGTATCGACGCAGTCGGCTCCCTCCAAGTATTGCTTCCCGTCTGCGTGAAAGATACCTGTCTGCGAGGTCTCATCACGTGTGACCACCAGAAACGTTTCATCTGTCCCTTTCCTGCTGCTGAAGAGCAGGAGCAGAATCAGTTTGCCCTGTCCGGCAGGTCTGCCCTCCGGTCCAGCTGCGAAAGGCATCAGCTGGAGAGGGGAGGAGCCCACTGCTTGATGAGAGAGGAGCCTTGAAAACTCCTAGCAGTTGAGATCCGGAGCGAGGTATGCGAAACGGGAGTAAAGAAAACCCTGCCGGTGGGAGCTGCGAGGCCCTCGGAAGCCCCCAGCCTTACCACGTTTGCTTCCCGCTTGCCGAGTGGGAGGAGGACCTGTATCCGAGAGGCTTGCACAGCTCTGAACGCATGAAGAAGGTGCAAAAAAGGCTGTCGGGGGATGGCTCTGAGTCCGGTGTGTCCCGATGCTACTGGTTCCTGCGTTCCCTGTACTTTCCCTGAAGACAAGAAGCAATGTGGAGGAGAAGAGCTGCTGACAGGAGAGAGACAGACAGTTCCCAAATGACTGCCTGAAGAAGCAGATGTGAAATGGGGTGTGTTTCTGATGATTGACTTTGGAAGCTCACCTGGAACATGGATTTCCCTGTTCAGGAGATAAACCTTTTCCACTCATCTTCCTGCTCTTTCCTGCCCTGCACCCAGCTGGAGCTGCTACAAGATAAACCCTGCTGAGGTTTCAGCAGCCCTGTCCTGCCTGGGGACTGAGTGCATCTGTGAAAGAAACCCAGCAGCAGCTTAACAGCAGTAGTTTTAAACCGTATCTCATGAAGACAGTCCCCGAGTAGTGCTGACATGAGTCGTAACTTTGAAGTCTTGGGACGGTTTGTTTATTTTTTTCTGAAAACCACAGACCCTTAGTTCTTGTTTCTACTTGAGAATGTAATGGTGCATTGAAGGAGTAATTACCAGCCCTGGCACTTGCAGAAGAAAGTGACTCCTGACCTGAATGCCGTCTTGCAGCTCCGAGCTAGAAAGCTTATGAAAACTCATTGTTTGTAGTTAAATCACTGAGTAGCTGGGTGTGAAAAGGCTGTCGAGGAGATACTGAGATACAAGAGAAGGACGTGAAGTAATTTGCTCCACATTCACAACCTGAAACCAAGTGGCAAAGCTACAATGGCTCCTTCCTCTGTTTAGAAATCCGCTGGTAAGTAGCAGAGGAGTCAGGAGGCAGCTAGAAGAGTTAGGAGAGAAGCATCCACCTCCTACTCACACCTTCAGAGACAAGCAGACATGATGGGACAGGACCGTGCTTGGAGGAAGAAGGAACAGAAGGAGAGCTCCAACCTCTCTTTTACACCTTTATCCCAGAAAGGCTGTGAATAATAACACTTCTTTGATGTACTTTGGAAAACGAAGTATCGTATCTTTTCTTTTTTTCCACCCAGTCGAAGGGAACTTGCATGACTATAACAGCCATGCTTAGGGCAGTGGCTTTCTGGCATGGTGACAAAGTTGGTCTTAAAAGTTACCTTTGCCTAGCTTCAGCAGACTGAGACTGTTCTGGTGCCAGCGTTTTGGGGGCTGTAGCGTTGGGAAGGAAAAGATTACGTGCTGTTCTGGTTGGAGTCACTTACTAAGTCTCATAGTGTGTACTGCTTTTTGAATGAAGGGTGTACTGAGGGAGCGCTTCCCGCGGCTGGAACAGGAGCTCCGCGACCGAGTCAGACCATCACTAGGCTTTTTGTGGGGATGTATGATAGCTCACCCAAAGGGAAACGTAGGTAGTTCTCATGTGATCTGTCAGCGCGATGGCTCTGCTTGTGAAAGGCAACCTCTGCAAGGGATAAAAAAAAAAAAAAAAAAAAAGTAACAAAACAGAAGTGCGTGTGTTAGGAGGTCCAGTTTACGTGGTGGCGGGTTCTAATAGTCAAGCAGCCTTACCCTGTGGCACGTGGCTCTGCACGGCTGCTCGGGCACGGTGGAACAGAGCAGGGCATGTGTTGGACACTGCAAAGGCAATTTGCCTGCCTTTTGACGGGATAATAATTCGATTTCAATTAATAACTTCAAATTATTTTGAAATAATTTAAATGAGATCATTTACTTTGAGAAATTCATTAGTCTGTTAAGTAACTACCTTGTTGGAAATTAAAATCTCCTGAAAGATTGGATTCTGTGTAGTTCATGGCAGTTCATAGCCAGCCCCATGACCTGCTTGCATCCTGGATACAGAGATCGTATGGTTTTTTATATATACTTTTTAACATATATTAAAAAAAAAAATGAAAAAAAAACCCAAACCCTAGCAGCAAAACAGTTCCGCAGGTTCTGTGGAATGAGGTAAAACCAGGGGTTAAATTACATTTCTGACATGAGGGATGGCCTGTGCAGAATGACAAATAGTGAACACATACGGCAGGTTCCACGCCTATGAAGCAAGTTCGGAGGGGAGAGGGGATACGGTGCAGCTTCGTCCTGCTAAACAGGCATAAAATATTGATAATTCTGCAACAGTAGACCTTAAAAATGTAAGTTTATATTTTGAATAAATTTAAGGTGCTATTATATAACAACTTCAACTTTTTTTTTTTTTTTCCTTTCCCCCTCCTACAGATCACACATCCGTGGGCGGGCTGGGAGACAGTTTTTATGAATATTTATTGAAAGCCTGGCTTATGTCAGACAAGATGGACACGGAGGCAAGGAAAATGTACGACGATGCAATTGAGGTGATTATAATTCATTGAGTTTTCCAATATAGTGAAACTTAAAACCATCTTTAATACTTATAAAAAAAAAAAAAAAACAAAAAACACCACCACCAACAACAAACAAACCAAAAAAACACAACAGGACTTGTTTTATTATGTAAGTTTTAAGAAATGAAGTGATGAATAATACTAGCTTTCACTCTGAGTAGTTTAAAAAGTATTATTGTGGAATACATCTGATGCGGATTATTATGCTAAAAATAATCCACTTGTCCAAAATGGTGTAATGTAAAAGCCCAACCTATAGTTTATTAGAAAGAGATCTAACAGCCCTAAGGTGTGTGCAGAACGACCAAGTCACTTTTCTCCGGAGTTCAGAATCACTCTAGGAGCTGAAGTCCTGAATCGTTTTATTTTCTCAAACATTTAGATGTTATATTTATCTTGTAAAATGTAGTTCATGCCTATTCCTTGCTCTACGGTTCTCCTGTGATATGGTCTTGCTCCCTCTCGCAGATCCCAAGTCGTGCTTGCCCAAGTTCGGTGGGATTTGGGGTGGGGACCTTTTTGTGGTGGCTCTGAGCTTCATGCCGCCCAGCTCTTACTTTCTTCGTTTCCCCATCCCCAGGCATCCTCTTTCATCAGGCTCGTCGTGCCCATATATGCCAACGTGCCTATGCTACAGTTAAGACACGGAGAAACTAAGCTAGTTTTAGTCAAGTTAGCTGTGGTACCAACAGCAGCCGGGACGGTGTAGTCTTGTCCAAGCGCAGATATGTGCGTGGCACCTAAGTTGTTCCATGCTCTGTGCATGCCGTGTTTTCTTTCAACACGAGCTTTTAAAGCTTAGTTTTAGTGCGGTCTCCTAAAGCAAAATGCCTGTTCTTGGAGTTCTAAAAATTCACATTTTAAAAGATATATAGTGAAAGTTCTAGTCCAGAATTGCTTTGAAGCTGTAATATGTCTCATTCCTGACCTGAATTTGATTAGATTTGGCTTTCGGCTACTTGAACTTTTTCCTTCCCTACGTTGTTTTAAAGGGTTATCTGCATTGTGTAGCTGGTTACTAACAAAGGTACGCTAGCCATTCTCTCCTGAAGGAGAAATGCGTTCTTTTCTTCAGTCTCACAATATAAAACAGATTTTGAATTATTTCTTAAGCTTTTTCCTAAGTACTTTCCAGTGTCTTCAGTATGGAGACAAGAATGTAATGGTTCTTCCAGTATGTCATCGCCTGATTTCTGGTCAGTATTCTGCTATTCATCCAGCCAAGAGCTGTATTTGCACTTTTAACCTTTGCCTCACGCTGTCATCCACTTTCCAGTTGGTTTTACTCTGAAGTTGGTTATAGTCTTTTTGATGTACCGCTTTCCTATTACTGGGATTTACATTCCTGATTCCTCAATGTGTGACCTTATACTTATCTCCATTAAAACACAATTGTTCGGGCAAACCCCATTTTGTCACCTGTTCTGAATGATTTTACAGAACTGACTTTTCCTTTATCACTATCTATAGCTCCATCAATTTTTGTGTCATCTGCAAATTTGTTTCAGCATTTGTTTCTTGCAGATCGTTGGTAGAAATGCGGCCTAGCATTGAATAGAAGTATCTTTGCAGAATCTTCACGGGATGAGGTTTTTTCACAATTTTTTGTTTTACTTTGAACTGTGTTCTAGCAAGCCAGCTTTTAATCTACTTCATATGTGCTGCCTTGAATTTGTTAAGGACTAATATTTTGTACAGTACCAAGGAAATTCCTGAAATTCCTAATGTTCCTAATATCGGCGTGCCCTTGTCAATCAAACGTCTATTTTTGAAAGCACATCATTCATTTTATATGATTGTTCTATTAACCTTTTAAAATACTGTTAAAGCATCAGCTATTTCCCAGTCCTTTTGAACTTCCTTAGCTTTCCAGGATTTGTAAAAGTCAACGTTATCAGTTCAAAACATTAGCTGAGTACTTTTAATAGTCTAAAATACAGTTTATTGAGTCCTGTGGGTTCAAAAATGTTTAGCAGTTGATGTTAAACATCCATTGTGGTTACTGTTGAAATATTTTATTCTGATTCCTAAACTGTGAGCACTTCAAAATTAGAGGAAATAAACTTTCCCTTCCGTCCTCTTCGCTGTAAGCCCAGTCTTGCAAACATTTTGTATGGGCAGATCTCTCTCTCTGAATGGAGACACAGCAAAGCAAATTTGGGACCAGATGAAAACACACTGTGGGTAGGAGGGAGAAAGAGCTGAGCTGCTCCAGCTTCATGTGTGATACGACCTGCAGCGCAAGCATCAGATGGTTTCCTCTTCGGCTTTCTCCCAGCTAAACCCACCCGTGTACATTTGAATTTGTACGAACCGTACTGATTTATGCATTGTGGAACATCCTTCTGGTTCAGGGTTTGTGTTTATCTGGGGTCCTACTTGACACTGAAAGACATGGGGGAAGAGTCAGTGAGTAGGATTTGTTTTACATAATTGCAATTTGAATTTTTATTTAAAAATCTTTACATATTTTCAAGAGCCCATTCCCTTACTATTCTTTCGTTGTTGCCCATAACGTAGGTCTTCCTCCATAGCTGACACTTCTTACTCTTTGTTTTTCAAAACTTGGAGCAAAAACTCTCTGCGTCACTTATGCAAGTAGAAAGGAAAGGCTGTAAAACACATTCTTCCCACTCATACCACGGAGTTGGAAATGTTCTCGGCACCCACCAGTCTAAAAGAAGCTCTCTGTCCAGCCACACTTCACTCCCTTAGCTTATTACAGGGGGGGAAGTGGAAGAGGCAACCATACCCTCACTCTCAAGTCTTACAGTAGGCAGTGATATCCCATTACGTGGAGGTATTAAGAGGAAGAAAGATGACAGTGTCTGTTCTTCAGATGTCATGATTTCCAATCCATGGCATATGCAACCTTACCCAGGTCACCACATACTTCGTAACGAGTATGAGCAAGTTCCATATCCCTGACCTCTTCGTGCTAGGTAACATTAGGGCAGTCTTCCACTGTAAAGGACACTTCATTTCAATGTCCTAGTACGTAGATTCACAGCTGTGATACGCTGAAATTGTGAAACTTGTTGAGAATTTTTTGTGCGTAGTTTGCACGGTGTAGCTAGCAAGGAGATGACTGTGCGCAGCAGCCATGACCTCCGCATCCACGATAACGGCTTTAGTTCTGTGCGGCATCCTCTGCCTGTGTGCTCTCAGCATATCTAGTTTGAGTGCAAAATACAGTTGTGGACATTTGGGGCGTGACTTGTTGTAGGTACCAGAAAAGTAATGGAGAGGGGTAATAATTCACTTCGGTAATAGATCTTGTGGATGGCAAGGAGAGTAATAAATGCCTTTTTAACGGCACTTTAAGCCTTCAACTCTAATCAGCCTTGGAGTGCTGTGACCAGTCACAGGTCCTGCACTTCGAAGGAAGTTGTGAACCCATCAGATGGTTATGTGTGGAAGCGCGAGGGAGATTTCTGGAAAGAAGATAGGAATAATGTCTCCGTGGCAAAGAAGATAATTGTCTTTATTATTATAGGACTCAAACTGCACTGAGATTCTAGTTACAAGAAAAACTGTCTAATGCTAAAGATAGTAAGTACTGCAGTAGGTTGGTGGGGATTGTGAACCTCTCTGAAAGAGGCTTAAGTAAATGTGTTGTTCCACGTAGCTTGCAAACTTTGGAAAGTTAGGTCGGTTATTCTCCTTCCTACTACCAGCAGAATACCATTTCTAAGTCCCAAGCAACACATACATTGGTAAAAATGTGCAAAAAAAAGCAGCATTTGCCTCACCTATGAAATAACGTTTTTTGTGAACAGCTGCTCTAAGCCTCACCCATCCTTTGACCACGTGCAATCAGAAAGCTGCTATGGAGCAGCAGCTGGAAGGTGGCTGGAGCATTCTTCTCACTGCCTGTTAAAGGAAGGGTATTCTTTGGTGTGCATTGAAATCATGTTCTTATAGCTGTTTGTTCCTGTAGCACTCAGAAGTGAATTTGAAAGAAGAAAATTAGTTTTGTTTTGAAAACAGTACTTTATTCTTTGGAGGAGACTTAGTATGTAAAACTTGCATGTGAAACGGTATTTGAAAGTTCTCTTAATCTTCTTGTAGGCCATAGAAAAGCATCTCATCAGGAAGTCCAACGGAGGACTGACCTTCATTGGGGAGTGGAAGAACGGGCACCTTGAAAGAAAGATGGGCCATTTGACCTGCTTTGCCGGGGGAATGTTTGCCCTTGGAGCAGATGGCTCCAGAGACGATAAAGCTGGACATTACCTGCAGCTTGGAGCTGAAATTGCACATACGTGTCACGAGTCGTATGACAGGACAAGTAAGATATATTGCTAATCCAGTTATTTCCATGGCTGAAATACAGAAATCGTTGTAATTATTTTTAAGATTTGTTATGGACCTATGCCTCATCTAACATGCACTGTTTTTATACCAGTATAATGTTTTTAACTTTCACGTGTTTACTTCTGATCTACATCATGGTGAGTAAGTGTAAAACCAGACTTTATATGGTCCCTTCCTGTGCATTTATCCTATTTTTGGATCAGTCAACTAAGGTTATATGGGGGCAGGGAGGGAGGAGTGGGTGTGAACTCTTGTCCTCCCAGATATATGGGGCAGCATTTCATATATATTGTTCTTACAGTTCTGTAGAGTGAAAACTGTGTAAATATACCTTTTACTGATTTTAGAAATAGTACATCCTGGGTAAGTACAATTAAACTAGAGAAGATGACAATTAGTGTGCAAGCTGTCAGATGGTCAAAGACCTGACTAGCGAGGAGGCAACACCAGACCTCACTGCTGGGCTGGAAGTTCTTCAGGTTCAGTCTTTTGGACCAGGTTTATTTTACATCTTCAACAGTGACCGTGATGCCTAAAGTTGAATTTCCTGATTACGCTTACAGTGCCCGTAAAGTCATAAGACAATTAAAACAGAAGAGTCTGAGCAGCAAACAGGCAGATCTTGAGGACTGGACTGTCAGAAATAAGAAGCTCACTAGAAAAGAGGCAGGAGCTCTTTCTCTAAACTGGGAGTTGAAAAATGCCAGTGCAGCCCTAGTCTGTATCAGGTGAAGAATTTTCAGCAGGTATTAGAGAATATTAACACTGCCTTAGAAGACACGTATAATTTGCCATCCAGAATACGCTGTGCAAATCTGAATTTCAAGCAGAACAAATGCAGAGAAGGACCAACAGAATGATTAGAGCGACAGAGCTTTTATCTTACCGTGGGAAAATACGAGAGGTTGGCCTGCTCAGACTAGAAGAATAATGCCAAAGAAGGGAATAAATTTGCTGTCGACTCAAGGGGTAAACACTGAAAAGAAATAGAGTTGTTTTAAGAAATAAACACAGTTGTACCAAGAGCAAGATTTGTAAGCTCGCCATGAATAAATGTAGGTTGGATATTGGAAATGGCTGTGTGTAGCCATCAGAGAAGTGAGCTTCTGAAATAACTTCCTAGTAGAAGTAATGGTAACTGAAACTCAAGCAATTTTAAGAGGAGAGTTCATGCATTTATTCACTGGATTGCATAGTATCATTGTATAATTACCTGCCATTTTAAAGAATTCAGTCACATAAGCAATACTTCTACCTGGGTAGCAACAGCATTAAAAAAAAAAAAGAAGGAAAAAGAGGATGCTTAAGGAAAAAGGTAGGGCATAGTAGCTATTGTTGCATTTCTGAGAAACTGCATTTCAATGTTTAATTTGACACTTAAAAATAAGCAATGCTAAATTTGCAGTTGTTTGTACAGTCCTATTTTTACTCCTTCAGATGTTTATTCTGTACCCTAAATAAGTCAAAAGTTGCGGGGATAAAAGTTTGGGTTACGTATTTAATGACTGTATAAGAACACACACATGCAAGAAACAGACTGAATATTGTACAGACAGCTGTAAATTTGCAATGCCCTAGTTTTCTTTTGTTTAGTCGTGCAATCTCAGGAATGTGGATTTTTTTTTTTATTTGGGTTGGTTTTTTGTTTTTGTGGTTTTTTTTTTTGCCTGGACTGATTTTTCAAAGAAAATAAAGAACTGTTATGTGCAAAATGCCAACTTCATTATGCTTTAATGGCAGGATTTGAGACATAATTGTACACTTTAATGACAGAACTAGCTGGCTGCAGGAAAAACCTCTCTTTCAGAGGGCAGACCGTCATCCTGGTTCAGCTGATAGGTTTATGTTTCCGTCAGCAAGGGGGAGAGCCTGATCTCTTTCTCCTGTAGACTTGGGAGAACTCTTGCCCGATTTGGTGTCCCTGGAGGCGACAGCAAGGTGGTGAGGCTGCGTGCTGAGGGTAGAGAGCTCTCTTCTTCAGATAAACCAACCAGAGCTGTCCTTCCCTGTGTCTTCTCAGCTTTGCTCATAATAAACTGCAGTATATGCCTGGTTTTATAATATTTTAGTATAAAAATACTGCTTTGTGAAGCAACCTAAATTTCCATGAGGGCTGAGCATGAGAAAAAAAAATGCTGTTTCAACGTCCAATCTCAGCAAAATGGAAACAGAATTTCACAGAATAAAAGCACTTCTGGATAAGAAGGGCATTATATTGCCAACTGTCTGCAACCTGTTGCACATATTGCAGGTATGAGGGCCTGTTTAAAAGAAAAAAAGAATTTGATATTTCAGAAAGCTTCAGGCAAATTGAATTCTATATTTGCTACTGTCTTTACAATACTGTTACCATATAAATCATGGAATACCATCCCCTGAAATTCTAGTTTGAAATCATGCTTTCCATATCTTGCATAAATAAATAAACATGGTGACATGACAGATGATTTAGGGTCTAGGACTTCTGGGGTTTCAGATAACTTCCATTGGAGTAACTTTGATCTGGACAGATTTCACCAGTGTGATAATAAATAAAATACTCGTGTCTCGCAGTGACAGTCCACATGCCTATGTAGCATTGAAGTGCTTTTCTGCCATTTGTGGCTGGAGGTTCTTGATGTATTAGGATTTTTTTAAGGCAGTAATAGTATCCTCTCACTGGTTTAGCTTTGCAGTTTTGCACTATGATGTGAAACTGTTTCTCATCTGCCCTCCCTGCCTAGACTACAGCCTATCAGCCCCGTTAATACTCAAATACCTGGATTAAAGGGCGACCGCTGTAGCATTGTAAAATGGCCTTAGATGGTTCTTTGCTTAGAAGACTGCTCCCCGGAAAAGTACTGTGTTCGTAGTAGCTTCTTTACTTTGGTCAGCTGCTAGTAGAAGTGCTGTGATTAATTTTACATCCGTGGTTGCAGACAAAAATTCAGTGAGATTGTCACAACGTGCAGGGGTCACCCATCCGTGGGTGGTACAATGTCTTGGAGCGCCCAATAGCACTAGAAGTAGATATGAGTAAGTAATTACAGGCTTAATGCACCAGCAGGCTACAAAGCAAGAGAAGGTGTCACAGTTTCCATAGGTGATGCATCACCAGAACTGCCTAAAATCCAGCTTCTTTGGGGGATAAGAGTAACACAGCTGACACGGTTTACCTGATTTCCAAAAGGCTTTTTCAGAAGTTCTTTGCTAAGGCCCTTTAAGGATATTAAGCAGCTACAGCATAAGCAGCAAGTACCTGCATGGAGAAAAAAAATGGTTGTAGCATCACAAATAGGGTAGAGGTAAATAGTCAGCTCCTGCAGCGGACGAATGGTGGTTAACTACTGGTACTCCGATATATTTGATACGTATTTATACACAGGTGCACAGGTGAGTATAAATGTATAGTGCATTTATACGCATATGTATAAATGTATAGTATATTTACATTTCATATTTTAATATGTGTATATATGTATACATAAATAAAAATATATACATATACGCATATATATAAACGACCGGGAAAAGGGCAGGAACAGTAAGGTAAGTGTGCTGACAATAACTAATTCAAAAAAGCTATTCAGGATAGCAAGGATGAAAGAAATCTGAAAAATTACACAAGGACCTTATGAGGTTGAGTAATTGCGTAATAAATTACTAAATTAAATTCAGTGTAGTTCAATGTAAAGTGAGGCACCTATGAAAAAATTATTCCTAACCTCACATATAAAATGATGAGCTCTTAACTGACCATTACAACTCAGGAAATTGCTCTTGAGATTATGAAAATGTCAGCTCAGTAGCAGTCAGGAAAAGCAAAGTGAGAAAGAGCAAAATAGAAAATGTCATTATGTCGCTGTGTTAATCTTTTCCACGCTTGTAATGCTGTATTCAGGCTGGTCCTCTCGTTTCACAAAGGATATAGTAGAATTGGAGGAGTTGCAAAGAAAGGCTAGAAGGAAAACTAAAGGTTCAGAACAGTTTCCATTCAAGGAGCAACTGAATTGGGTAGTATTCTTCCGTCTGGAAAAGGGACGTTTTGGGTAAGATACAACAGATTTGCAAAATCACCAGGGGACTGGAGAGAGTGGATAGGAATCAGTTGTTCACTCACTTCTCCAAGACAAGACCTAGAGACTCTTGAATGAGTCTGGTAGGGGCCAAGCTGAAAATGGAAAAGAACAAAAAAGTGGTTCTGCGCCAAGGAGGTGTTAGAGATGTGGAACTCCTTAGCAGACGTTGGTTTGGATGCTTAAGGCTTACACAGGTTTAAGGAAACACTAGCTAGGTACTTGGGAAATAAATCTATTAAGAATTACTGATCACATCAAAAAGTATGTCTAGTTTGGGAGAAGCCTGGAGCTCAAAAAAATCGGAGACTGGTAGAGAAGCTGGAAAAAGGTCTGTCATGTACTTGGCCTGTTCTTCCTCTTCCCCATCCTTGCCTGATTTTGGCCATTGTTGGAGACGTGATACTGGGCCAGACAGAACTTCCATCTGGTCCAGTATGGCCATTCTTATCTTCTTAATTTTGGATAGGTAGAACTCTGTATCTAATCTCATTGATTTTGCAGTAAAATTTGTATTTTTTTTTTTTTTTACTGAAACTAGTAAAATGGCCCATTTTGAAAGAAGTGTCATAAACATTGGAGTTTTCTTTGCCATGCATGTGGCTGAAGCAGAGTGGTGCATCCAGAGCTGTACTCCCGTGAAACAAAAAGATTAAGGAACTTTTTTTGGAGATTTTCTGCTGAGGCACGCCCTAGGAGGTGCTCATATTTTTCATTGTAGTATTCTAAGGTTCCCCTTTCAGACTCATGAGACCGTGGTTGATTTGAGCCTCTAGCCCATAGGAATTACATGATTAATTGCTTTGATCATATTGAAAGCTCAAGTGCAGCTTCAAAGTTCAGCACCTTAAAAATTCGCTGCCAAAGGAAAGGGTGGGGTGCAGCTGTAGATAAGGGTGCATTATTTATGTCGAATTTGAGGAATAATGTGTAGCTGTATAATAAAAAAATAACGTAATTGCATCTTCATATTATAGACAGTTTTTCTTCAGGTACCTCCTTCTTACATGAAGAGTCTTCCAGATGCTGGCACAGGGCCATTACAGCTTCCTCTAAGGGCTGAAATAGGGAATCTCTTAGTTCAGAGATTTATTTTCAGGTGTGGTTTTCATTGCCTAGTTGTAAACCCCTTTACTTGAGGATCCCATTACGAAGCACATCAGTTACGGTGGCCTGACGGCACTTCCCTAAACCAGGAGACTCCGGATAAAGATGCAGGTTATTTGAGGTGGTGGCACCTGGTGTTGTGCTAAGATCTTTTCCCGCTCTGCTGGGTGGCATCAAAGGACATCAAAACCTCCGTTGACCCTTTTCTTTTTTTCTTTTGCTTGGAAAGAACTGATGTCGGTCACTTTAATTTTATCCTATAATTGAATGTGTTAATGTGTTTATATTCTTAGCGTTTCATTAGTTTTCAAGAGGATTACTTTACTCCTGTCAAGATAGGTAGTTTTCTCACAGGAACTGGATAAATTATTCATAAGAAAAATTATAGGCCTCAACAATAGGAAGTATTTATGAGACTGCTTAAAGACAAGCTAGTTTCTGCTTTTCTCACATGCTTGGGATAGAGCAGTCTCCTAGCCACCCTTCCTGCAAAGACTGGTAAGCAATAAATTGTTTCTTTTTTTTTCCTTTTTTTTTTTTTCCTTTGCAGCATTAAAGCTGGGTCCAGAAGCATTCAAATTTGATGGTGGTGTAGAGGCGGTGGCAGTGCGGCAGAATGAGAAGTATTACATCCTAAGACCAGAGGTGATTGAGACCTACTGGTATATGTGGAGATTCACCCACGATCCCAAGTACAGGCAGTGGGGCTGGGAGGCAACACAGGTAAATGTATTAATTATCTGTCAGTAAATTCATTCTATGTGTTTTCCTTTTGTAGCCACTTTCATCTCGTGGTACTGAAACACTTCAAGTGGTAACTGATTTTCACGAGTTCCTGTACACCGGGCTACATATGGGGTGCGCGCAGTCATTCCTGTTTTGCCACTGCTGAATCAGATGCGCAGATGAGGAATGTGTTCAGCATTATACAGCTGATGGATTTTAGGCATGTAAATAGATTCCACTGGTCATGACTCCTACTGTTATCCAGTATCCACAGCCCCCACAGTGATTTATCCTGGGAAATGAAAGCGTGTTATAAATAACTTTAAGCATGTGTTGGCACTCAGATGAAAAGACAAAGCTATTCTTACGGTTCCTTCTTGGTCAGCTCTTAAAACACAAGTGGTAGGACAGCTGTTCTCTGATGGTTTGTAGACTAGATAGCATGTATATACGGATATGTGGGTTGGTATCATGGCTCTTTCTTTTCTTAATTGTCTGTTTGGAAGGAAAAAAATTGCCAGTCAGTTTAGATTTACTCAATTATAACAAAAAAAATGACATCACTAGAAGTAGACCAAAAAGGGAAGTGAGTAAGTAATGGCACATAAGGCAGAACTTAAAAATTGTTGCTAAGGTATTTTGGAGATTATTGCTTTTTTTGTATAGCTGCTTTCCTGGGTTTAAATCTAGTTGTTGTATGTTTTAATCAAATTCCCAAGTGTGAAAATGCTTCTGAGTCTTTCTCATTGGAAATGCTTGTACTGTCTACAGAAGCCCAAATTGATGGTGAGACTCAATGCAGATCTGTGCTCATGGCCTTCCTTCCTTCATCCTTTGTCTGATGGCCATGGATTATGGGCTGTATGAATAACTAGGCTTCATTTTCACATAACAATATAATATTCTAATGGTAAAAATTATTTGCAATCCCCAAAAGACTTCTTTTAAATGCTTCCTAGGGCTGAACTTGGGAGCCTTTTCTGGTCTCATCTTTCTCACTGCTTCCACCTGCTGGTCTGTAGTGGGGTGGTGCAAAACTCATTTGCTGGCCACGCAGTTTCTGGTCATCTTCAAGATCTGAGTGGCCACTGGATTGCTGCAGCTCCTCCACTGTCCTGCTACAGCTCCAGTAGTCTTTGGAAACACAGCTCAGAGCCCGTTTCGGAGATGAGAATAAACACTAAAGGTAACAAGACACTAATGATATATTTTTAGTACAGCCAAAGGAGATGAGGGAAGAGCAAACGAGGAGACGAACCAAGAGCCTGGAGAAACTTTATTCTGCAGGTGAAAACCAGTTTTGCTCCAGAGGCAAGAGGCCCAGAAAGAGTACTTGGAGCAAGAGATCTGTTGAGAGGCATGGATCTGTTCATCAGGCAGAAGATAGTTAAGGCAGGTTCAGAATATTTAGCTGAGCTCAGCCCTATCCTTCCCTCAGCGCAGTTACAATCACATAGAAGAGGCCAAGTATTTTAAGATTCTGTCTTAGGCTTGGTTAGGTTTTGCCTTGTAGACTGTTTTGTGAAAATCACGTTTGTATTCCAGAATGCATTGCTGCTCTCTCCGAAACATCAAACACTGAGTCACATCATCCCTCCTGTCCCAACTATGCCTGTTTCTAAAATGACAAAAAAGGGATTGAGTAACCTGCTCCTTGCCGGTGTGCGTACTGCGAAGGCTTGCTGATCTAACACCAGCTCCTGTCAGAAGCTATGGCTGGATGATCCGAGCTGAGACTGGGCCTTTGTACTCGGTTAGGATCTGTCTCTTAGGCATACTGCAAAGCATGCCTTTGAATTGCATTTTGTTCGGTTTTCTCCATTTACCTTCATATCTTGGGTCCCCGTTAATGCTTTCAGACCAAACGCTGCCTTCCTCCTCCCCTGCCTCCGATTTTCTCTGCATGCAGGGTAGGATTTTATTTTATCCTTCTGTCAACCTGCATCAAAGTTGCGTAAATCAAGCAGCCCCTGTCCTTGCGGAGTACCTTTTTTTGCTTGCTTCCTCAATACAGAGTTTCTTTATCCAACATAGCCATAAAATATTTTTGAATTCTTCGTAAATGGTTTTGTGTAGCCCTCCCTCCCACAATTACAGATTTTCTTTCCCCCGCCATCATACTAACACAGAGGCTTGGGAAGCTTTTTGTTCCCCAGGGTTTTCTGTTCCCTGCCTATAGATAATAAGTTCTTGTGTTTAGTCCTCACACCTACTCACTGCTTTCCTTTCTTCCCTACCATACGCAGCTCTGGTTGTGTTTATTCATTTATAAATAGAGAAGAATCTGGTGTGGCACACAGCGCAGTTGGCTAGCTGCTGTTGTGCGACACTGTCTGCATTCGCTTTCCTTTTGCCTTTCAGCCACTGAAGCGTACTTTGAAGTCTGTATTACAGACTTCTCATGGTGAATGATAGTTTCTTCATCAGAAGTCTAGTAGTTCTTTCAAACTTTCGGGGAAATTGAGTTTTGTTTCTGAGTTCTAAATGGTCTTATTTTTCTACGTTGGACCTGGTGTTTGATGACTGTGTTCTTGGTGGTCTCCCTCGTTTGCTGCTTTGAATGGATGAATACATCCCTACCTGAATGGATTTGGATTAGTGCACCGGTATGTTAGAGGTCTGCTTCTATCCTTTTAAGAACTCTTCAGAGATGATCCAGGATACCATTGTAGAACCACCTGGCTTTTAAGTATACTGCATTACTTAAGTTGCTTTAGCGCTCCCAGCCCAGATCTCTCTCTGCCCTTTATCAGGGGGGATTTGCACAGAGGGCTGGATTGTGTGTGTACGCAGATCCTTATACTGTACTTTCTTTATCTATTTCACCATTGGCAGCTGCTTTTTGGCTTTATTATCTAGATTTTTGGACAAAACTTGGGCATTTTAGTGCAGGTGGTGTGCTTTGGCCAAGGCCTGTTCTGTCACATCTCTCCAAATCCGATGCCTGTGGGGAAAAACCAGAAGTTGAATCTTCTATTCCCTCAGGGATCATAAATCCCTGTGACAGGGCCCCTATCTCTTTCCTAATAAAAAAAAGGCTAATTCTCCCTAATACTATACTTAGTGCTAGAGACAACATCCATCCCAGTTGTATCGGGCCAGCCAAATTGGATGATGGTATGCTGGGGGGCTGGCTGCAGTATTACGGAAATACACATGCAAGATATTCAGGGTAAATACAGAAAATGACTAAAATCCTGTTTAGGCTAATTATTTGAAAGCAATAAGAGCCACCACTGCACAACAGGCATGTAAAGCCAGTTACTGATCTAAGATGTGTGAATGAAGGGTTCAACTATTTGTTGGGGACTTCTGTATCTGACTAAGTAGGATTGCGCCACGGAGGCTGCCGAGTTCGTTCAGAGTTTCTACTTAAAGGGAGAATAATACACAAGACCTCAAGTTCGGGTTAACTTCAGGCAAATTGAGGATTGACAGTAAGATGGAGCAGAAAGACCTACCTATAGCTCTCTACTTAGTGAAGCAAAGTAGACAGAAAAGAGCCAAGCTTAGGTTGGAGGTGAAAGAAACAGGTTCACAGTTCGTGGGTTGGAAGCCGCGAATACCAGAGAGGTGCTTTGGGGAGGTAAGCTGGTGAACAGACGGGCGCAGTTTTTATGAGCGCGTTGTTGGCGTAGTCAAGAAGTCACACATGCGACCGCAAAAACACCCTCGGAGGAATGAGGGAGCTGGGGTCTGATCTAGAGGCACCTCCAGTTGTAGTTCCAAAGACCTTGGATCAACTCTGACCTCCCTGTATGTCCCAGGCTCAGAAATTTCACTTTTTGAGCCGAGACACGTGTATTTGGCAAGAGTGCACTACTGCATTATTCTTCTCTTCTTCTCTTGATTTGAATAAAGGGAACTGGAAAACCCACTTCTTCTGGCAGTTTGTTCCATTATTTAATTACTTGTGCTTTCCCATTTGAATTTGTCTAGTTTCAGCTGTCAAATCACTGGATTTTCCTATGACTTCCTATACCATATTAAAATGTCTTTTGTTCCCCCATGTTTTCTTTCCAAAGAATTTTCATAGGTTGTAATAAGCTTACTACTGAGTCTGCTTAAGATGCTAAACAAATTGTATTGTCTCCCACTGTAAAGCATTTTCTCCAAATGTCTGCACCCACGTCAGTTCATCATCCTTTTTTAAAAATGAATTCTAGAATTGCGTGTTCCAGTTTTGTCTTTATGCACAGCCCTGTGCAATGATATCCCTGCGGCCGGTTACCATCCCCGCCTGTGCGCCTGCCGCGGCATCCCAGCAGGAGCCCGGACCGGACCATCTCATGTGGCCACTGAATTCTTTTCAGTGTCTCTACTTTCCAGGCTAATCTGGTTCTGCAGTTACACAGCCTTTATGTCTAGATTTAGGATTCTGTGACTGGTTATATGAAACTCATTCAGTCTGGGGCCCCGTTCCCGCCAGATTACACTGACTGCTGTTATTTACCTATGTCATTTTTGCCAGCAGCAGTGTTGCAGTGATTGGTAAAACTTCAGGCCGTTCCTTGTGGATTTCTGTGAGAAGCAGCTCTATTTGTTGATGATTTTACATTGCCGGATTGTTCTTAGAGCACTGTCAGGCAGTTTTAAATTAAGATAGTGATATTGGTATGATATAGTGCTGCTTTGTCTTATCATAAAGTCTTATGGTACCATGTCAATTGCTTTAGAAACTGTTAGATTTATTACACCTCTGCAGTTACCTTCATTTGCCAATTTGTAGACCTCAAAGAATGAAATCAAGCTTGTGAGCAAGATAATTTTCTATAAAACCATGCTGATTGGTGTCAATTATCCTCTTATTCTTCTGTTTACAAGTGTTTCTGTCATTGTTTGGGACTAACATCAGGTATACCATCTTAAAGTTATTCAGCCTGCCAATACCTCATAATAATAGCAGCATTACCTTGATACCCTTCCAGTTGCCTAGGACTGCCCTGTATTCTAGGGTGCAATAAGTTTAGCATCATTTTCTCAAGGGAACTGGTCTTCAGCTCTTGAGTGGAAGAGTGTCCAGGTGGCAAAGCAGATGCCTCTGCACCAAGTACTCCGAGATCTGTGTGACGGCACAACACGGCAAATTTCAAGTGCTTTTTAAGCAGCTCGTCTACAGCACCAGACTTTGCAGACAGTGTCCTGAAGTTCTGTACACCCCTGAATCAAGGACAATTTGTTCATCCATATTTGGATGAATAGCTGTATAGCAGGCTTAAAGAGGATTTTTTCCTCTACAGTTCATTACTCTTGCAGTGTCTAGATCTCTGGTCAACTCCGCCTGTCCTGAACTCCAGTCTGGCCAGAGTCTGTCTCCCCAAGGAGAAATTTCTGAAGATACAAGACTACTTGGTAATTGTAAGGGGGGGGACGGAATCAATATAAATCACACATTTTCTTTCTTCAGGCTTCTAGGCCTGCTAGCTTCACCAGTGTTGCACTTAGTTATCCAAGCATGAGACCTCCTCAGCACAGAGCAGGATCTCCGTGCTGTCTGTTACCTACAGCCTCCAGAATAAGCGAGTTGGGTCTCTTATGCTGACTTGGGCTTTTAATTCTTGAGGAGGAAGGAGGTTGTCCTAACAGTGGTGCCATTTGTTCCTTCTTTTCATTTTGCCACCATCACTAGCAAGCTTCTCATGTCCGAGCTGTGGCACGCAGTGCCAGGATTGCTGAATCATTGGCCAGAGGAGCACCTGCAAGGTCAGACTCTGCATGCTAGGAATTCCGGCAAGGCTGTAACCATTGGAGCTCCCCCGCATCTTGCCGTGCTCCAGAGCAGAGCCAAGGTCATATTCTGCCATATTATAAAAAAGGGAATAGTGGCAAGAGGAGGCACTTCTTTCCCTGCCTAGAAAGCAGAAGTGCTTTGGCTCTTGTTTATGCATATAACACCTGCCTAGCAGCTGTAGGACCTGTGGGGAGGAACGTGCAAATGGCTGCATAAACAGCGTATGCATTCTTTCTTAAGAAGTCAGCCAAGCAATTTTTTCTTTTCCTTTTTTTTTTTTTTGTTTGGCTGCCATGTGATAGCTGGCATCACTTGTGGTGTGCAAGGGCGTGCAAAGAGATTGGCATGCGTGTGATGCTGTTCGGATAGATGTGTCGCGTACACCTTTCTCTCCAGAGAAAACCGGGTCAACCCAAATCCCAACATGTGAATAGTCTCAGAGTAGCCATAGCCTGCGCCAGTAACCAGCTCGGAAAAGAATGCATCCAGACGCTTTCTCCTTTTAGGCTCAAGTTCCAACAGAAAAAGGAGCATTTCCGTCCAAACTTGGAGAAAGCTCCGCTTGAGATAAGGAATTACAGCGAGAATTAAATTATGCCAAGGAAGACTGTACCTTTCTTGGCGTAAGCTCAGGCTCTAGAGCCACAGCCATTCCAGTAACATCCTTTTGCCGGTCTCTGCTTTAAAACTCTCGGTCTTCAGAAATTTGAAAGACCTTTGTACAGTTTGGATTAATCTTTGGTCCATGAACAACCTCACGTTTCCACAGGGTAAGGGTGTATACTAGGAGGAGGTTAGCTGTAGTACCTGACGTGCTGTGACTTACTGTCCTAGGTACCTTGCTCATTTGCCTTTTCGCTTTTCCTCCTGATGTCAGTGATGGCATCTCCCAGCATTCTTCATGCATATATCCAATGGAAATTTCTCCTTTGTTTCCCAGTATTTCTAGTATGCAAAGGCTATAGTAAGGACCTTGAAGAGTTAATTTTGATGGAATTTGTTTTCTCTGCATAAAAAGGGACATCATTCAAAACTTATTTGCTCCCCTGCCTTGACTCCCCTCAGCTTCTGTTGAGTATAACTAGCAAAAATCAGAATTAACGAAAACGTGGGCCTAACGCACCATGTGGAGAGAAGCTTCATACAGGCTAATGGGCTGAATCATAGATTACTGAACTACAGGTAGCTACGTTCAGTAGCTGGCAATGACAGACATCCTGAGCCGAACATTTTCCTTCATCACTGTGCCTTTTCTGTCCCTGCATGAATCTATTAAAAGAGTTGGTGTCTGCTGAGGAAGCACTGCCAAAGCAGCGGGGAAGCACAAACAACCCGTGAATCATTTCAGAGTCGTTTCTTTGGGGCTGGTTTTAATGGCTGGTATCCTCGTGTGCTGTAAGGTCGTGCATGTGAGCGGAATAATGAAAGCGTAGGCGAGAGGTGCTCTGAGCTACTAACGCGTTCCTTCCAGTCTCCTCCTCTTCCATTGTGCTTTTTGCAGCACTGTGTTGGAGCTGGCTAGCTGGGTGATTTGTGAATCATGGATCCATTGGCCCCTTTCTGCACGGAATGCTTATGGATTTAAACTTCATGCTTTTAAGATAACGAGCTCTTCTGCAGTCCAGCACGCAAGCTGACTTGAGTTTCAACTGTAGAAAGGGGAAACAGAGAAGAGCACATGTAGGAGATGGAAATGTGGGGAGAAAGCAGCAGCTAGAAGAGTTTGTAAGATGAAATCAACAGTCCCTAAAGATGAGTACAGTATTTTATTCCTGCTTTCAGTAAGTCCCTATGACTAGCTACTAGTCACAGAGTTCCTATAACTCTTCAAACTCTTCCAGCTGCAAAATCCAGGGTCGTTTGTCATCTTCCTATGTACCTCATAGCACATGTTGCATTGATTGACTGATGGACGTTGTACTCGGTGTTACCTATGAGGAGCTCAGAGCAAAAGCCTACCGAGTCCATGTCCTGTCATCCATATCAGTTGCCAGTAAATACCCAGGGAAGAAAGTATTCTTGCCCAGAATACTTTCTTAGCATCTAGCAGTTTGCCAAATGTGGTGTCGTTAGTAGCCGTGGAGGGATTTTGCTTCTGTATGTGTCCGGTCCCTTTTTATTTTTTTTTGGTCAGCGTAAACTGGTAACATCCACAGCATACTCTGACAAGGAGATTCACAACGGAATAACGCATCACGGAAAGAGCTGCCTCCTTTGTTGATCAAGCCTCATCCTTTAACGTTTCCAAATTTTGCTGTACAATGAAATTCTCCTTTTCCCTTCTTCTTTGCAGGCAATTGACAAGTATTGCCGAGTCAGCGGTGGCTTTTCTGGTGTCAAGGATGTCTATTCCTCATCTCCTACATATGACGATGTACAGCAGAGCTTTTTCCTTGCTGAAACTTTGAAGTAAGTTCTCTTCACTCTTGCCTCTCCTTGTAAAAGCTAGCACCTAAATTCTAGAAGAATGTGGTGGCTCAGCAAATAATCTCTTGTCTTCTTGGGGTGGTTTATGGTTTGGGCTTTCTTTTTTCCCCAGCTTTAGGGTCCCAGATCAGCCCATTTTACCAGCAGAAAATACAAGCAGAATTTCCCATACAAGAAGCTTATGCTGAGAGAGCTTTAGTTTCTAAGACTTCTATTTATTTCTGGCATCACAGCAGAGGAGAGGTTATCTCCTTTTAAGATATTCCCTTTGCAAAAGACTTTTTTTTTTAGATATACTGACTTGACATGTGCCATGCTCTGGTACTGTAGAACCTGTTTCTCCTGTGTAATATTTTCAACTCAGTCAAACCAGTAGGACGCCTGTAGTCCACGCTGCAGAAGCTAATGCACTCTGTTGCATATTTGGTTCCGGGTTCAAAGTCATTGGTCTTTCACCGTGTTTCTTTTTAATTAATAACAAAAAACGCTATGTAGAGTATGCCATAACCTCTAACTTACAGAGATGATACATGCAATAAGAAAAACTGGTATAAAGGCAGGAATATGTTATGGGGATTTTATTAAGAGACCCATTTTTAAAACTGAGCTAGCATGTCATGGCTGCTGATCTCTTTCATCATTGACACAAACCAGCTATCAAGAGCACTCTTGTCACACAGTTGTGATCGCTCTGGGGTTTTGCCTATGAAACAGTGCCTTCTAACGTGTGACAATTTTCTTGATACTCAAGTTACATCAGCAAATTTGGTAGTATAGTTCTGGCACTGGAACCTACCAAGACTGGTTACCTTCTTGAAATCTTGTGAATTGTCCACTTTTGGCATCCGAGTTGGCTACGTTCTCTACCCCTCTTTTTTCCTTCCTGCATAACAGTTTGGGGACTGTTTTAGTTGGTTAAAACCATAGCCAGAAGTCATTGCTGGCAGTGTGAATGAGGCCAGAGCTGCTGTTAGGAGACGTAGTTGTTGCCTCTGCTTACATATGCACACTACTTTCTGCCAAGGTGTGATGGAAGGGATGATACCGATGTTGTTGCACAAACCTGTCAGCAACGGAGACTCATTAAGGTTCCTTTTCTGTCTTTACAACCCAGTGATGATGAAAAAACAATTGTAACCATTTGGGAATCTAGTGTGGCATTGCAGGCTTTGCAGAATAAACAGGGTTTCTGTACAGCAGCAGAGTTTACAGTATCGGCAATATCAATTTTTCGGGTTTTAGCTGTAGCTGATGCATGCGAACGTTGATTTTGTGTATTGGGAGCTCAAAATGCAGCGGGGAGAAAGCAGGTACCGAAAGTGGCAGTACTGGTGCTGCCTTCGGGCACCACAACGTGTTTCACTGGCAAGAAGGGGCTCCGAGTTCATCACGTGTAAGGGCAGAGTCTGGCTATTCTGTCCTTCTGCTGGCTCCTTACCCAATTCCTCTACATGGTCACAATACTTTGTTTCCCCATGTTATCATTATAAAAAGAAAGTCAGCTGCTGCTGCCTCCTCTGTTGTCTTCATTAATTTTATTTTACTTACTCCTTCAAGTTCATTTTCTGGAGGCTAAAACCTATACTCCCAAAGAGAGAGGCAGCAGCTTCAAACAGGTCCAGTCGGAGAAGCAATACCTCCCCAGGAGCTGATCTTATATGATTGATCTGCCTATAAAAGCCAAATCAGAGAATGAAATCTGCTCCTCAGGGATTTCTGTGGGGGCAAGGCTGACCTTTGAAGTATCACCAAAATCCTGTCTGCATCTTAAATAATCACAAGGAGATCTGACAATTCACAATGCGTCACTCAGTAACTGGATGTAGTATAGTGCCAGCGTTGCAAAAGAAGGCAGTTCTAGGAAGGAGCTCAGAAATTTTTATTGGCTTTTGGTTTGGATCATTTCCCACTTGCAGGACAAAATGTTTTCTTGGAGAGCTGGATATTAGATGCTTGATGTTGATGCGATTGGCATAGCCAAACCAGAAACTAGTATCACCTTGAGGTAAAACAGAGAACATAAGGTCAGGATAGCTCAGATGGCTATGAAAATAAAGGCAGAAGGGTTGGCGGTGATGCCATGAGGAAAATGAAGATGTCCCTCAGAAGACGGGCATAAAATGTGTGTTACGGAATGCCTGCTGTGATCTTTTCTGCTATTGATTGTAACTTCTGCATCTTCATTCCCCTCATATTCAAGATCGATACCTCTCCCAAACATGCATTGCTGCTGCTCGGATACATAGGTTTATCAAAGATACTCAGCAAATTATGAGAGTTTGGGCAGTATGAGTGGCAAGAAGGTAGCTGTTGAGTGGGAAGGAGCAAGACGTAGAAATAGGTTGCTTAAGTTACTCAAAGGAAAGGTGTGGATCAAATGAGGAAGGTGAATTTGAGTAAGATGAAACATTGTGGCTGTGGTGAAAAAGAGTTTGAAGAGCTGCAGAGGGAGAAAGCGAGGAAGGAGGAAAAGAAAGGCATGACGCTTTAAGGGTGAATGAAAGATGTAGAGAAAGAGACTAGACATGAGGGACAAAACCAAATCACCTCAGCAATAAATTTTTATCTGTAAACAGGTAATTGGTGAGGAAGGGGAGAAGAGGTAGAGCTTCACTGACTGGGTGGTGCTGTGGATACAACTGGCAAGTAAAGGCGATGGGAGAATGATTGGGCAGTGACACGGGACTGTAGGCAGTAGACACTACCAGCGTCTGATTGAGAGAGTGTGAAGTAACAGCAGCCTCCGCAGAGCGAAGGCAGAACAACGTGTGTGCACGTTTTGGATGTGACAGAGCCCGCTGAGGGGAGCGACACCCCTTCCTTGTCACGTACGGCAAGACCTGTCCTCTTCTGGGTGTCAGGAAAGCAAGCTGTAGCAGGAGCCGAGGGGTCCTGTACACCCATGATGATGTAGCAGGAGCCGAGAGGTCCTGTACACCCATGATGATGTAGCAGGAGCCGAGAGGTCCTGTACACCCATGATGAAGTAGCAGGAGCTGAGAGGTCCTGTACACCCATGATGATGTAGCAGGAGCCGAGAGGTCCTGTACACCCATGATGTTACACTTGTACTTGCACGGCCAGGTTTTCTGGAACAAGGGAAGTGCCTTTTGAATTTTAGCAATTGAGTTTGGAAGCCTTAACAAAGATCCCTACCAGCAATGTCTCCTACAAAGTATAGCACAGCCGCATTCGGAAGTGTGTATTAAGAAAAAAGAACCAAGAAATACTCTTCTTCCACATATGTCCAGAAACCTTAATTTTGTTACACACTTCATTTGCTCTGCATTGCTTTATAATGTACAGCGTTTATGAATCCCCTCTGCACAATATATTGGCCCATTTCCTCCCACCAGAAGCTGAAGCAGCTTCCAGCACAGTGAGGACAAGTCAGATATCTGGCATGGCTTAGTGGCTTCTCCTGTGCTTCCTCCAAATATTTGGTTGGGATTAAAGAGGATTAGTCATTTCCAAGTGGGTTTACTCCATTAAGAAGAATTTTTTGCCAACTTCTTCTCTGCTCCCCTGTCCCCCAAATCCTTATGCTTGGTGTCTTCATACTTCTTTCGCAAGTCTTTGAAGGGAGCCTTGAAAAGCGAAAGTTACTTGGAAAGATTCAAATGCTGTCCTTATAGCAACTTTTCATTGAAGGGCTTGATCATGGTAAAATGATTCTTTGGATCATGATAATAGGGAAGTCTGTGTGGGTGCTATGCAAAGATTGAAAGCAAATAACTTGTTTATAGCTTTAGCTGCTGACTGGGGGGGCCTGAAGCTGCTGTGTTGTGCCTGCCTGTCTGTTGCTCTGCTTTAATACCCACCATTTTTCCTCTCTGTCTTGATACCTAGGTATTTGTATCTGCTTTTCTCCAACGATGACCTTCTACCATTAGACAACTGGGTTTTTAACACAGAAGCTCATCCTCTGCCTGTTTTGCATTTAGCCAACACCACACTGTCAGGAAATCCTGCATATCGATAAAAGCAGCTCTATGAAGAGGAGTAGAGACTGTTTTCAGCTCTGTTTTGTTTACATGGACCACTTGAGACTTTAAGCAGGAGAGGAGACAGACACTTGATAAGACTAGACCTCTGAGTCAAGCAAGTACTGGCGTGAGAAACGAAGCTCTTCAACATATAGATAAGTTAAAAGTTCTGTTTTATACATGACCAAAACACGTTAGTCTGGTATTTGCAGGACAGAGACTTCATACGCTTTGAACCCCTAGCAAGACATGGAATCTACTGTTTAATATAAATGCAGCAGCGTAAGGAAGAAGAGGCTTTCCCATCCAGGGAGAGGAACTTGCTGGTGTTGGCTGTTGCAAGGAACAACGCACTAGTCACCTCTTCAGAGCGGGTGGGTTCCAAATACCTAGATTTTCATTTTCTTTTGTTTTGTGTTTGATGATGGCATGAACAAAGCAACAACAAAAAGCAACATCACTGCACCAGCAGCATCAGGATTTGAATTTTTTTCTGTACCTGTCTGAATTTTCTAAGGAGCATCTGTTTGTCCAGACTGGCAGCCATTCTCAGGGCCTCTAAGCTATTAGAACTAAACTCTAAACTATAAAAACTGTTGCCTCCTCATTTTCCCCTTTTCAAAATAATGTTGAAAGATCTGTGTTGTATGCTTCCATCCAAAAAAACAATTAGTAAGCATTTGGTTTGTAGTTCACTGGCAGCGACGTGGGCTTAGTTCATCTGGCAAGCTACAGTCACAGACTCGGGAGCATATCGCAGGGGTAGGAAGGAGCCTAAGTTTCCCTTCCTCACAAATCCTGTCACGTGGAAAAAAACATTCTCCTATCAGTCCTGGTTCTTTCAGCTAAATAAACAGAGATGACAATCTCACCATGAGAGAAAAACAGTCTCTTCTGATTTATATAACAGGATACAGTATATGGTACTTAAAAATGCTCCCCTTGAGCTAAGCAGCAGGAGTTTGTTGCTTTCTATTTTTCCACACAATCCAGATTTTTTCCTGAAAGTTAAATTTCATTCTTTGGATACTGTTATGGAACCTTCTTTGCAGGTATGTGTATGACAGAAGCCCCAAACTACATTTGATTTAGTTTACAAAACTCCTTTTCTTCTTGGTGCTCCAGTACAAAGCCAACGTGATCTTCTTTGGAAACAGCATAACATCTCTTACGTGTGAGTGGAAAAAGAAACTGAAGAGTCTCTTCTTCCATTACGTTATGAGAAATGAGATGCTGTTACCTGCATGGTTTTTTTTTCTGAGTACTCCTAGGCTGGGCTGGACGCTATCACTTAAACGGAATCTGCTTCAGTCTTCACTTATTTACTAAAAGAAGTTTCGTCTTTTCAAGTATATATCAATCCCTTTTTTTTACCATCGTTCCAGAATCCTTACAGCTCAAATTATTCTTTTTATTCCCCTTTTTAGCTTTCAAATCCTTTTGCCATGGTGACTGGCCCCTTTGCTGAAAAGGAGCTGTGAGGTGCTCCTTTCCCTCCTAATTAGTGCACAGGTTGAGTCTTTAAAAAATCTTGATTGTGTTTTCATACTAAAGTGAGTGGAAGAACTCTGTAGCGAGCCACAGCAGTACAGCATCAGATCTAAAGGGAGTGAGTGCTATTTCTCCCCCTCAAGAATGTTTATATATGAAGTTTTATATATAAAAGCTTTTCTCTCCATCATAGTATGATATATCTGACTGTACATTATAGTAGAATGTCCCCCGTAAAATTTTTCTTCACTCGTCTTTGACACTAACTTAGACACAGAAATCATCACATGATTGAAGAAAAAATGCTATCAGATGCTTTTTTCCAGACAGTTGCTTTAGTTTAAGAGGAGGAGGACCTAGAGCTTGGAAAAAACTCCAATCTCAATGTTTTTGCATTAATACCAGTTACTTAGTTACTGTAGTTTGCAGCAGTATCTTAAAAATAATTTGATAACTGATAAAGTAATTGATACAGTAAATAATACTGATTCAAGTAATTGTTTATTTAAAATTAGAAGTAGCTTAATAAATGGATTCTTCTTACTGGTCCCATTTTAATATATTTTTCTAATTAGTATTCAGTAACTTACTGAAGAGCTGGTCATTTTCCATTTTCCAAAGTTCAGATGTGTTGTGTTTTCAAATTGAGTTTTTTCCATCCCATGAGAACTGTTATTACTTTAAAACTGCACTTGATTGCCTTGTTCTCCTAAATCTCCCTGGGTACAAAGGAGAAAGAGGAAAAGCAGACTCTGCTGTTTTTTTTTTAAAAAAAAAAAAAAAAAAGGCACTTTCCACCCCACACACCTCCTGATAAATGCAGACGTAGAATGGCTGCCAGTCTGTTCAGAGAAAGGTCCAGGACAGAATTCTGGAGTCCCAGAAACAGCAAACTTCTTATCATTGTTTGCTGCTCTTCCACTCCCTTCTTGTGAATGAAAGAGCGACCCTTCAAATTAATTCCTCCATGAATCCCCATGGGTTAACTCACTGCCACAAGAATGCTTGAATTGAGGACCTAAGCCATTTCATGTTATGGGATGGTATTTTTCTCAAAGCAGATGTACAGTACTGCTATTTCTTCTTTGTGTAGACAAGCAGCAGGTACCAAATAAAGGACACTTGTTTCTCGTTTTCCGGTTAACCCAACGGCTCTCAGTTTCTACACTATCACTCTTTAAAATACAAACTATCCTTTTCCTCCAGAAGCTACTGATGTGCATAGTCGATCAAAAATCATGCATTTTATGGACTAATTGCTGTGTCATTCATGAATCTCTCCATCCTGAGATTTCCTAGAGCAAGCTGAGTTTGGAGGTAATGGGTTCTGAGCGAGGCGGGTGCGTAATAACTAAGCACCGTGGATACTGAAACTTCTGACTGAAGGGACGTGCCCTCGTTCCGAGTCCTTCACAGAGAAGTAGGTTCTGGTCTGCAGAACGGCGTTACGTGCAACCCAAAGTTGAGACTGTTTTCCCTCTGGGTCTGTAAGGTACAGTAGAATATTGCCATTTTCATTCTGTTGCTGCTGTCTTACATACTTTCATGAAGATAGAGTGTAAATTTAAGCACAAAATGACTTTTTAGTCCTAGTTGTTTCCGAGTCTTGCACTGTATTCTCTAACAAAACAATCCTCATTTTCTTTAGGTAGCTGTCCCATTTTAGCGATTTCTACAATACCTTCTCCTCTTACAGGATGAAATAAAGAACAGAAAATCATGTACGTTTTTGGCACACTGGATTTGGGCAAGAGCCTGGAAATCCCAGAATTGTCTCTTTCCTGTTTGCATGCAGTCAAAACAAGGATGTTGAGTTCTTTCCCAAACAGGGAGGTTAGGTCCTTTCCCTAATCCAAGCCTCAAGCTTGCCTGTGGGTCAGGATCTGCTAGCAGTACATTTTTTTCTAACACTTAGAGCCTGACTTTTTGAAGAAGCCAGATTTCTGCAGCTTCCATTGGCCACCCTGGAGCTGTGTGTGTCCTGCAGTCAAGAAGTCAACTTCTTAGCTTTGTCCTCTAAATAAAAACAAAACCCTTGAATGGGATATTCTGGGTGTTCATTTTGCTGCACAATATGGTCCTTAATACTGAATGCCTAAGAAAAGTATGGAAAATAGGAAGTACACTGGAGTAAAGGGAAAAGCAGATAGTTCCCTGTGCCAGGCACACCTTTGAGGCTCCCTACTCCAAAGTTGTGGATCGCTGTCTTCTACCTCCCAATCACTGACATATTCCCACCCAATATTTTACAAGATTTGAATGTTGGGTATCCAGGTTCTGAAAAGTGAAAATAATTGCGCGCTCCCTGTAATACCATCCTTTAAGGTTAAAGGTATACCCTGTGCTGACTTACAGCTAAGCAAAGCCCTGTCGGGCTGTCTTACATGATCCCTTCTTCTATCCCTCAGGAAATGATATCAAAAGCCTTCATAATGTGACTCTCCCTCGTTTGGAGAAGTGGTTAATAGCATTAACATTGAAAGGATCAACAATGTAACCTGGAATCCACAGAAAACGGTGAGGCAGTTTACATCTCAGGGCTGTAGTAATAGGCTTTTAGCAAATTGAGCCTGTTATGTACATTAATAAGTTTAGTCCATGTTTTTAAGGGGACAAATTAAGAAACAGGCTTCTTGTTACCAGAGAAAAATAAAAGCCAGCTCTTGATCCACGCTGTAGTTCAGAGATCTGTTCACCCTGATAAGACATCCCTCTTCCGCTCCTTGAATTTTGAGAAACAGTCTTCTGACTCGAGAGTTTGAGTTGCCATCCAAAGAGGAAGCCCAAGCTCTTTTGCAAGTTCTGTGCGTGCAGCTGTAGCAGGGATGGTAAGCACCGGCTGCTTTGGCTGTTAGCCCCTTCTAACAACCTGCTCTGTAATTGCCCAGAAAAGTCGGGAACCACCGAAGTCAAAGGAGACAGCCTGACTTGTTACGGTGAATTGTTGCCTTTAATCCTAATCGCTTGGTGGAAGTTGGATTTGCATTTTGCCTTTATTCTTGCTTTGTCTAAAACTGACAGATTATTTTTCCTCCAAAATAATAAAAGGGCAAAAGTCTATCTTCTGATGTGGAAACCTTCTGCCTCTGACCTGGAATCCTGCATATGTACTTTTTACAGATTAAAAATAATATTGTATATAAAAAAGATTGAATAAAGAATGTCTTTAAGTGAAAAAGGTGCATTTTGTGTCCTTTACCTCCAACAGCAACCTCCTGTAGCACTGAGCTGTGAAGCTGATGCTGTTTCCTGGGCTTGGTGGTGCCGCAGCTTTGCTTTCCCCCGCAGCTCTGCTCGGGACTTTGTCAACTTGCACGTGCATCAAGACCCGCTGCTGCAGAATTCAACGCCTGTACGCCTCGCTTTTAACAGGTCACTGTAGTGCACTAATTTTTCTCAAGATGTAGCTAAACGTACAAGAGTTCGAGGCTGTTTCTGTGTGCCGTCGTGAGAGCCGCCAAATATCACAAGGTTTTGAGATTTCTACCCTGTTAAATTTGTGTGAAAGTGGGCTAAAAAGCTCAAAGATTCTTAGTGATGAGGGTAAAGGGGGCAGGCAGACAAGCAGTGCTACTAAATAAACTTAATTTTCTTAAGAGACCAGGTTAAAACTCCAGCTTTTCTTGATACTAAATAAGCAGTGAATTGGGCAATTAAGTCTGTCCATCTGTTCCTCTGCCCTCTGTGAAAAAGGAGAGGTTTGTAATTGTTTAAATGTTGCTCACAGGGAAATGGGGATGAGGAAATTGCTTCGAGCGAGCCTGTTTTCCCCCTGCACCTTTAAATTCACTGGAACTGCTGCTCTAGCTCTCTGTTTTGCAGTACAGCAAGTGAATAACCAGATTTGCTTTCTGATTCACATTAGCTGTAGATAATCCTTGCTGTCTGACATCACCCATGTTGCTCATACCCTGTTTTCGTGGCATGCCATCCTGGCCGTCCTGTTTCAGTGCTTGATCTCCAGTGCCCAGCCTTCCCAGGGTGCTTCTGCCTCAGGATGCAATGCCCTCCTTCAGTATTGCTTCATAAGAGAAAATTGCTTCCAAAGTGCCGTAATTCGGTGCAACACATGACACCAGGCAGCGCCCTGCTGTCCCGGTGTGCCATCCACCTTGAGATCCAGCCACGCCTCAGCTGTGGCTCCCTCGCGTTCCACGCAAGCGCTGCGCGTTCCTGATGTGCCCAGCTTCCTACCGCAGTGCCGCCGCCAAAGCAGCGTCTTTCGCACCCGTTGAGCTTCCCGTGGCGTGCTCCGCCCTTAAGCCACCTCAGTGACATTCACTTCTTGCATCAACACGTTTGCTGCCTCTATCCACGGCACGCCATCCCAGCCGCTGAGCCCCAACGCGCAAGACCTTGCCTCCTGCTCTAATGAGATCAAGCTCTCTATCCTTGCGTAGGACATTTTGGCCAATACCGAAGGCTTCGTTACTGTCCCCGCTGCTCTTCAAATGAGGTGGGTGCATTGCGTTGTCTCTGCCTCTTCAACCCTGAAGTGTTTCACCCCTCCACTGCTACCTCTTCTGTAACACACTTTCCTTGCACGTCCTCGATCCGAGGATATATAGCAAATATCCTCTTTTATTTCTCCTTTGGCACTCTGCCTGCGTGTTGCCCTCCCCTCCTTCCCTCGTAGGCTCTGTGATTGTGTGCGCTCCTTCCTGGAGACCATGGGCCTTTCCTATGCATATTAATTAGCTGTATTTAAAAATCCTGAAATTAATCCTTAATGGGTTATTTTTAGCCTTCATCTTGTAGCTCTGGGAGCTGGCTTCTCTGAGTGCAAAACCGTAGGCATTCTGTGGGCTTTGGAAAGGAAACGTTCCTCTGTGTGTGCTGGTTCACGTGTGGGATGTGTGAAGGTTGGTGGTGGCCTGCTTGTTTTTTTAATGTGAAGCGCAAGTCTCTTTGACAGCAACATTTCAGGCTGAGCAAACTCCCATGTGAAAAGGTTTGAGAAGAGCAGTCACTCATACAGCCAAGCTACTTGCAGGTAAAAATTCAGGGAAGGATTTGGGGAGGAAGAAAAAAGCACTCTGTGTCCATGTGCACCAACAGTTGCACCGTTTGCTTTCTGTCGTGCGCTTTCCGGCATGCTTTCCGTTGTACAAGTAGTTCTAGGCAACAGGTATGATGGCTGGCTCTTACCATATAAACCAGAAAGGATGAGCTGCTGCATGAGTGAGAAAATAGCATCGTGTGTTGGTCTGGGGTCCCATAGAAGCCCCATGTGAACTGCAGTATGATACAGCCACAAAAAGGAAGAAAGTCCCCAGGTCATTTCTTCCGCAGGCTGGTGCTGCGTGTCTGCATACCCATCTCTTCACCAATTCGTGCTAAAGCTTCAGCAAGAAAATGAGTGGAAGAAGCCCCAAGAACACGAGTGGATGCCAGCAGTCTGCTACAGCACCCGTGACAGAGGCCTGTGCACAGGTTCCAGGAGGTGGGGTGCGGGAAGATGTCTCATGTGGACAGATAGACCCGTCCGTGACCGGTGTGTGGATTGTGCCCAGCAGTCCCGCGAACCCCTCCACAGCGCTGCTTGGCTTACCTTCAACCATCTGTGAGGCCACAGAATGTATTTTGAAGAAAAGTGTCACTGAAGATTCAGAATTACTTGGGATACCAAAGACAAGAGTTTTCAGGGAAACCAGATACTGCTTTTTATGAGATATATCATTCTCCAGATGAAGGATGTATGGTACGTCTCATGTAGCTGAACTTCAGTAATGGATGTACTACTGCATCTTGATTAATTTGTCTTGAAAATATGAAGTTGAACACAAGAGCTGCACGGTGGATAAGGAACTGGATAAAGGAGCAACAATGAAATGTAAACTGGAGAAGGAAACTCCTAGGTGTTTTAGTGAATGTCACTAAATCCTGCTACTAGGACAAATCTGTAATGGCAAGAAGAATTTGTTTGCAGCAGAAGAAAGTTAGGAAGAATTGTCAATAAAGAGAATGAAGGATCAGATAATCTTGAGGCCCGGAACAGCAGAAGACAAAAGAAATTAGAAAAGTCAAAAGGCAAACTTGTTCCTCCAGGGGCTAGGAATAAAACCTTTCACTATAATCTGGGATGTTGTCAGTTTGAAATCATGAACGTTGAGAAAGACCTGAGCATATAGTCAGCCATAATGGCACAGATCACCAATGCAAGGTGAAAGAAAGCAAGTGAAAATAAAAGAATGGCTGTGCTGGATCAAAACTAAGGTCTGTCTAACCCAGCATCTTGGCTCAACAATGACCAAGAGCAGCTTCCCACAGAAGAGCAGAAAAATAAGTATGTATTGACACTTCAGAAATGTACCCTGAAATGGCCTGCAGCTTCCTGAGCCGGAGGTGGTACCTTCGTATTTTAATGGCCCTTGATGTGCAGGGAGGGGGGATGTTCTTAGGAATTGGTCCAGGCACTTACTGAATCAATGGAAACGTCGTGTGCAGCCCTGCCAGAGAGCCTTATGGCGTTGGCAAAGCATGCGTGCATCGAAAGGGTATTTCTGATGAAACTAAAAAACTACCAGTGTTGTACAAAGCAGGATGAACACATCTGAGAGACGGTGTACGGTCCTGCTCACCCAGGTTAGGAGGCCTTGTCTCAGTGGGACAGGGGCAAGACAGGAGTATTTAGGCTTAGGAATGGAGAGTTTGTGTCAAGAGAGGTGAGACGAAGAGTTTAGCCTGGCAAAATGGAAGACTGGCAGAGGGGATAACTGCTGTCCACAGCACATCAAGGGGTTGATCATCCTGGGCATTGCTCCCACTTGAGCAATCGTTGGAGAATGAACCAGAGACCTTTTCTTGAAATAGGTGCATCAAGCCGTTCCCCTAAAGCAACGCTGTGAAATTGTGACTTGCAAAAGGAGTTGCAAAGCACCCAAGGGTGTTAGCAGGAGAGGAGGTGAGATGAACACTTGCATGAATACTGGACGTGATATTTCGGCGTTGATCTCTGTCTGACACCCAGTAGCAGGCAGCCTGCACCAGCAGCCTTGCTCTGTGTTATTTGTGATAAAAGCGCAGGCTTTGTGAATACAGAAACTCGGCAGTCAGAATATTAAATTGGACTTCACAGAGCGAGTGAGGGGAAACTCTCGCTAAAGATACCATCTTGTGGTAGCAAGAGGCACAGACAGATAGAGCCAGCAGATGTAATTTGTGTGAAGCAAGCATCAATCCTATTGAACAGCTGATGATAAACTCCTTCCTTTCCAAGCCAAGGATGCCACTGAGGAGTCAGTGTAGGCTCAGCCCTCGCTCTGCCCGGAGCTGCGGGGAGGGGACACACAAGCAAATTGCAGGTTTATACTGCGCTCACCGCACCCGGTGGTGGGTCAGTGACGATCCTCGTCCAAAACACCTTCCTCTGTTCCTTTATCTCCCTTCCCTCATTTCTAGCAACAGCGTGAACGGGGAGTACAAGGTAAATGAGATCATCATAAAAATAACTATGTCTCCGTAAATATATAACTAGTAAATTTAAGAGGGATGAGGAAAATCCCCTAGAAGCAAGAAAACTTGAACACTGAAAAACAGCTGCCTCGACCACTTCTTACAGGCAAAACCTATCGTGCCGTGCTCAGCGTCAAAGAGTTTTCATGTCTTGATTATTCCTTGTGGCTGACCACAGTGCTCTAGCGATACCTGTGTGCCGGAGTTTCCTTCCAGAGCCTCAGAGACAAGGGACATCAATCACAAGATGGACCAAAAGAAGCCTGCCATCAGAGTGACTGTCTTGAACGTAGCGGTGGGTATGCGGTTGTCCTTACGGCACCAGCATTTAGAAGTAAAGTGTGTAGAAAGCCCAAGTGCATGTAAAAACCCAGTGTGCTTTTGGTCTAGATTAATTAAAAAGCTTACATACCTAAAGTTGCATACGGGATTATCAGAAAAATGTATATCTAGCTCCTGGTGAAATCACCACATTGAAAAATTTGAGATGCAAGAATATTTGAAAAAAAAACATGTAATGAGAAACCAAAGATGGTCCATTCATGTAATTTTTTACAAAAAAATATGAAGGGATGAAGTGATTACAGGGTATATAAGTACCTTCACTGGGAGGAACTTCAGAGTTCTCAAAAGCTTTTTATTCTAGTAGAGAAAGCATAGCAAGAAATCAAAAGCCAGAAACTGAACCTTGACAAATCCAGACTGAAAAATAAGGTATACATTTTTAGCAGTGAAAAGACTTAGTCACCAAGCAAAGTGATACATTCTTCTTCCCTTGACACCTATGGATGAGGTCTGGATGCTTTTCTGTATTGCACGGTTCAGTCAGGCCCAAGTTCTTAGGCTCGGTGTACGTAAGGGGGTGAAAGTCTGTGGACTGTATTATTTGGGCAGTAAGAATAGGTCATGCAGTTGTCCCTTTTAGCCTTGAGAACTATTGCAATAATTGTCAAAAGGCTTGGATGACTTTCTGAAGAGTATCACTTGGTAATTAATCTGAGGAGAAAGTGCTACAGCATCACCTTGAAAGGAAGACCTTCAAACCAGGCTGAGCCTTACTGAAGGAGAAAGTCCTTGAGAAGGGATGTGGGCAAGACACTTGGTTTGGAGCGTAATAGTTGGTTAACAAGCTAGGCAAACTCTCCTGTGTACTGGCACCTTAAAACTCTTTAACTGGCTTTTACAAAAACTGAGCAATACCTATGAAGACTCACAAAGGCAGATGTATTACAGCTATTCTGTATTAGATGGTAAAGACTCTTTTGGACTGAAAGAACTCGATGAAGAAATGCCTCTCTACACCTTTTTTGGAAGCTCTGCGTGAAGCTGCAACATGACGTGCTTGAAGCTGATGGAGTTACAGAGTGAGGCTGTGCACAGATATTCTGGAGGTCTAAAGCCATCAAGCACTGCTCGCACAGCTCATGGGTACGGCTTTCTTACCAGCGTCCCACCTTCAGATACCAGCAGCAGTGACTACTGGTTTGCACCAAGCTGTGCCAACAGGAAGCGATGGGAAGGGAATGGTCCACCTGGAGAAGAGGTCAGCTCTTCTAATTAGCACCAGCAGACTTACGAATTAATGACTAAATGGGCTGCCGAACAAATTCTGCGGAAGCTTTGCTAGCCTGTGCACCACTGGACTGTCCTGGCATTCTTCAAGCAGAAGTGCTAAAAAGGCTTTGGCAGTAAAACCGACATCAAACAAATCCCTCAAAACGCAGAAGAAAGTGATCTGAAATGTTTGTAATACCTGCAGAATCTTCAAGAATAAAATTACATTACTGACATCAAATGCAAAAATTGCTTTGCCCTCATGGATTTTGTTTTCTTTTAACTTTCTAGGCTGGCTTTTCACATCTTAAGGCAGCAACAAAAGCAGTCTGTCTTTGCCTCAATGCTCTTCTGTAATGCATACTAAGCATTTTGATGGAAGATACTACACAGTGTAAGTGCTATTGCCGGGCAGTGCTTAACTTCCAGCCCCCATTCTCTACAGCCCTCTTTCCCACCCATTCCTATGACTTCGCAGTTGTGAGAGGAGAGATGTATCCATCGATGCCAGGTGGAGAAACCAGGTTTGTAGACGTACTTTTAGTGCCAAAAAAGTTCTCTGCATTTTTTTTATATGGGAGATGAACTTGACAGGAAAAGCCTAACCGCACAACTCCCCAGATCAAACCAGTCTGTTAACTGAGCACCTCGCTGTCGGGAGCTTCTGGCTATTTGACAACAAACCCCCTACCTGCCTAATCAACGTGCACAAAATTGAGTGGCATCTGTTGTAGGACCAAGCTGGAGACTGAAAATATCTTCTTTATTTTTGGTTACTGTTCTTTTCACTTGCTTAGATTGGTCCTCAACTGCTTAATATTCAGTGCTTGCTGCTAGCACTGGAGAAGGCACATTTTATTTAAGAAATGTGAGAAGTTTAGTTACGTGAATGAGGAACTTCTAGAAATGACAAGCGTTGGTATGAGAAAGAAATCCATGGCACAGCCACATGTGAATTCCAGTTATCCAGTGGTTTTTGAACTGAGGTGGTGACGCAGATGGAGAGCTTTGAGGAGGGAGAAGAGCATTACATGGGACCGCAGGGGTCGTGACAGGGACTGGTGAAATGAGGATGTCTTTTGAAATGCATCCTACTCTAATCCCACTTTCCTAATTAGCTTTACAGTGGCTATAATCGATTATTCTAGATGTATAAGTGACGGATTTTTCAGGTTAAGAGACTGTTGTTATGCTGGTTTCCTACAGCAGAGGCTATACATAATGTTTCACATTGTGATTCTGCACCAAGCCTGTGAATCGAGCCAAAGGTTGTTTGTTTGTTTGTTTGTTTGTTTGTTTGTTTGTTTGTTTGAAAAAAAGCGGTTTTGATTTAAAGATCACAACTGAGAAAGTTAACGTTTTGTGATTAATTCATTTAATGTCATAGTATAAAATGACAACCTGTAAATCAAACTTCATCCAATCATAAATCAAAAGTTTTGTCATTATTTGAAATCCGCAATGCACTCAAAATCCCAGTGTCACGCTTGTCTGACAATATGGATTCTTCATAAAAACAGGCTCACTGGCATTTACTGTCCAGCTGTCCTCCATTGACTGTATCCTGTATAGCAATGCCAGTGCCAGGCTTGCATTTCCAGCCTTGACATGACAGCCACTTTTGCTTCTGTTCCTCTGGAGCTTCTTCAGTATTCCTACATTTATTAAAAATGTACATTAATAGCTTAGAGTCCCCGGTCCATTTTAGCAAGCAAAAATCTGTTCCTCTCTGGAGACAAAATATTTAACAGCAAAAGGTGGTCGTTAAGCTTAGCTTTTGTACCTGCTGGAACCATAAGTAATTAATTTGTCTGTAGCAGGTAAGTATGGCTGACATGTCTTTGCTCCTTCCCCCTTTTCTGCATGCCTGAAGGGTAAATAAATAGCTTTCCAGCAAAGCAGCCTTAACACTTTTTTCTTTTCCCGTGTGTATACATAAGTAAAATTCTTCTTACTGCCTGTGATCCTGTTGAGAGTGGAGTTTCATTGATAATCAATAGTTTGCTTTACTGATTGCCAACAAACTAATTAAATTAGATGAATGGTATTGGTCAGCTAACTTAAAAAATAATAAGGCTCTTACTGATCGAGTACCTTTTGTAGCCACTTTGCTAACCTGCCAAGCATAAAAGTATATAAACAAGTTACTGTGAAGTAGACTGAAGTGTAAACTTGCAGCAGATCAACTGCGTTGCGGTAAGCGTGCCTGTTCTCCCTCCTGGTGTCCCTTGCAATGTCTTAATTGGCTTGTGGGGCTTCTCCCAAACACCTTCCCCACCGCGTCGGTGCTGGAGGCGAGAGGAGCGCCGAGGAGGCCGGTGCCCCTCGGGCCATTCTCCCGCCCTGCTGCCGTGGGGCAGGTTTCTCCCCGCTCTGGTGGTGGGACGAAGGGTCCCCCCTTCCCTGCCCTCCATCCCCTGGGGCCTCGGCCCCTGGCGAACACGGGGACTGCGTCTGCCGCGGAGGGGATGCTCAGCTCGAATTTACCAGGCGGTGGGATGAGGGATGGGGTAGTGTTCGTGCTAAAAGGCGGTTTCCTGGGGTAGCCTGTAGGGCCAAGAGCATCCTCCCTAAGGAGTGACCATCTGGGTGGTAATAACTGCTGCTCTGCAGTCTTGTTCAGGGTCCGTTCATGGGTGGTCTCCAGATGGAAGGAGAGAAGGAGCTGTGCGTGGCCATTTTGGAGGAGATCTCAGGAAGGAATTTCCCTACGACATCTCCAAAGGTGAGGAATACACCAAATTAATTCAGTACCTCCATAACATAAAGCCAGTGAAGTCACTTCTGCATTGAGTTTACAGCCAAGGTCATCATTAGTCATCGTGGATTAAGGATGGGAACAATCCTGAATCTGGGTGAAGAAGAGCTGTTGCCCTCTGAGTCCAACCTTAAACTAGGGTTTAGTAAAGGCTCACCGTCTCTAAGGCCCTTTCCTCACCTTGCTTTCTTGCTGACCATTCATGTTGGCTTCTCTTTCATTAAGATGATGAGGCCAATAGTGGGAATGAAGATGACAGTCCCCTGGCAGATGATCCTGAGAATGTGGAACAATACGAGACATTACCGGAGGCATTTAAAGATAATGCTTTCCAGAGATGTAGCAATGCAGATGCCTATGAGAGCCCGCACGTGCCAGAAAGGCACCAGAGGGACCTCCCTGGGGAGAGGCAGGATGACAGCATTCATCTAGAAAAGGCCCTTGAGGGTCTCCACAGCATCCTTCTCCACCCAGAAGATGCTATAGGAGACGGTCACACTGGATGCAGTCAGCGTGAAGAAATCGTCAGTCAGACATCAAATCTTCAGCAGCGTGAGGCATCCCAGACAGAGAAACCCCACAAATGTCCCAAGTGTAACAAGGGCTTCAGGGCGTGCTCTGATTTAATTCAACACCAGAGAACCCACCCAGGTGAGAAGCCCTTCATATGCAGTGAGCGTGGGGAAAACTTCAGGGTGAGCTTCGGTGATTTCTCAACGCTGGCCCAGCACCAGCGAACCCACCCGGGTGAGAAGCCCCGTGTGTGTTCCCAGTGTGGGCAGTGCTCCAAACGGAGGGCTCACGGCCAACAGACACCAGCGGGTCCACACAGGAGAAAAACCCTTTTTGTGTGCTGAGCGTGGAAGGGCTCCCAAAACAAGGCACACCTCAGGCAGCACTGGAAACTTCACCTGAAACAGCGGGGCAGCATTTCCCTCGGGTCCATGAGTGTTGGCCCCTTGCCTTTCAAAAAAAAAAAATCAATTATAAATTATATGGTGTGATTGAAAGAAGGAAGAAACCACCGAGGGGAGGAGAGGGTCTGGCTTGTCCTGGGGCTTGAAGGAAAGCATGTGGTAACAAGAAACGGGGAGCAAGTTCAGCAAAGGAGGAATTTGGTGCTTAGAAATCTGATGGCTGGGAGCACGGCCCTTGGAAAGGTGAAAAGATCCCACTGTCTTACGGAGAAGGCAAAAATGACAAAGCAGGCTCCGGCAACGGGAGCCTGCATTCGGGAAATGAGTCATTTACTGAGCTGCGGAAGAAAAGTTGTCCTTTATTCTCTCTGGCAGTGTCTGTAGGTATTTTAGGAGGTCTGTTAAACCTGGGCAAAGATGTCCCAGTTTCCTGGTACATGTTGTAATACTCCAGCTCTTTGATGTGTTAAGCGCCTTCCCCTATTAAATAGCAGCTCCGCTTCTGTTCTCCCCCTTCCTTTCCCGCCCTATTTCTGTGTGCCCGGGTTGTCCTTTCCTTCAGTGCCAGAGCAGCCATGGCTGCGCCCACCATCGGTCTCACAGGACGTTAGGATGCAATCTCACTAGCCTAGAAAAATAATGAGTGTTGCTGTTTGTTAAACACCTTTTTGCTTTTCTGAGCAGGGTTTGATAACCGCCTTCAGCAGTATTTTGCCTGATGCATCTTGAGAGCCTTATTCAACCCTGGAGGCAACTGAGATAACCACGTATATGTAAATGTATGGAGTTATTTGTAGCTTTACTCAGAGGGCTGTGAATTTTACGTACTTGAGAGTCTTTTGGAGGCTTATGGCCAGCTCAGAGCCTTCTGCCTAGGAACAGAGTGCAAGCAGGCAACTGGAAGGAAAGGAGTGGAGTGTGAATGGTGATGACTGGAGGGAGACAGACTACAAACGGAGGGGCCCAGAGGGGAATGGAAGTAGAAACAGGACTGGAGGGAAGCGGAGGGGAACCGAGTACATACAGAGGGGAACGGAAAGGAGCCATCTGGTGAGAAAAAAGCCAACAATGCAGGAGACTGGAGGGGAAAAGAACGTGAACGGTGAGGCTCAAGGGGAAGAAGGCATGAACAGAGGGGCTGTAGCTAAACAGATTTTCACCAGAGAGGTCTAGACAGAATGAGAACATGAATCCAGCCTGTCCAGATCCCTCTGTAGGGCCTCCCTGCCCTCCAGCAGATCAACGCTCCCGCCCAGCTTGGTGTCACCTGCGAACTGACTGAGGGTGCACTCGATCCCCTCGATCATTGATAAAGACATTAAACAGAACCAGCCCCAGCACTGAGCCCTGGGGACACCACTGGTGACCGGCCGCCAGCTGGATTTGGC